TTACTCTCTATATTATTTAATAATTTTTTAAATAAAGAAATTAGTTAGTTTAAATTATATGTAAATATTATATAAATAAGTAATAATAGGATTAAATAAATAATTTACTCCCTATATTATTTAATAATTTTTTAAATAAAGAAATTAATTAGTTTAAATTATATGAATAATATAAATATAAATACCATATAACTTACACCCTATAGTATTATTAATTATTAATTAGTTTGATATAAATATAATATAAAAGTATTTACTGCAAGTTATACTATATATTACTTACAATCTAGTTATTTAAATTAAGAATATAATTAGTTGAATTATATAAAATATCAAACAAATAAATATAATATATATACTGTAATTTACCATCTGTAGTATAATTAATTATTAAATAGTTATTTAAATAAAGAGTTTAGTTATTTGAATGTAAAATAAATAAAGCAAAGAATTGAAGATTAAATAACTGATAACTTTACCAACTAGTATAGTATTATTAACTATTAAATAAATTATTTAGTTATATGGTATACAATAAAATAATGAGTAATTCATTATATTAACTTACTAGCTAAAAATTTAACATCAAAATATAAGGTATAATTATTGATAGTATTCGAATTGTTTATAAATAAAAATTTAATATTTCAGCTTGTTTGATATACCTTTAGATTCCTTGGTACCACTTACTTCAAATTCCTCAATGCTACTCCTTTCAAATTCTTCAATGCCACTCCCCTCAAATACTCTAGCACCACTTTCTTCAAATCCTTCAATATTATTACTTGAAACTAGTTTTGTTATATTGCAAATTTGGTTTAATTATATTTGATTATTTACAATTAAATTTTTTTAATAAATAAAAATCTTAATATTTCATCTTTGTTTTGTATTATATTTACCTTCAGGTTTCTTGGTATTACACAAAACTAGTTTTATTTTATTGCAAGTTTATTTTAAAAATTTTGAATAATTCTAATTTATATTATATGTTTATGCCATATGCTTTACCTTTGCCAATACATTGGCCCATTACTATATTAAAATTTTCTCTAATTGGAAAAGATAAAGTAATATCTTTTTTTACTATTATTACGTCTTTATTAGTATAAATAAATATGGTAATAATATTTATGCAAAATGTATTATATGCAAAATGTTGATTACAACCACTGCATATATGTTGTGCCTCAATGTATGATACAATTTATTTAACGATCGTCAGTTACAATCTGAGGCATTTTTTTTGGGTCTGGTACAAAATTCCGAATGTCAAAATCCCGAAAATCCCGAACCAGGCAGCATTATGCTTAATGCTGGCCAATTTTTCGGGATTTCAAACCATTCTGGATTTTGACATTCGGGATTTTGTACGGATCCCATTTTTTTTTAACGAAAAAAATAAAAACTTATAAACGCAAACATAATATACTTTTATTATACATAATAAATCTTTTGTTATAACGGGTTGTTATAACGGGTCACAACTTATAACCTACATATATTAAAATTTAAGAGGAAAAATACCAGGATTGTTTAAAAAAATAGAAAGAGAAAGTAATTGAAGATCAAATGACGAGAAGAGTTAAAGATAAATATTTGTGTGGAGAGAAAAATTTAAAAGAGATACATCTGAAGTTATTTGACGAGGAAGAGAAGATAGGTAAAAATGAGATAATTTCTTAGAATAACGATCAAGGAATGCCAATTTTTGGGATAGATAAAAAGAAGTCAAAGAAGTAAAAAATATAAAAGATTAGGATATCATATGGTTGCTAATAGTGATATAGTAGATCTTGACAACTCGCCTGAGTTAGTGAAATGCAGTGGATGCGAAAAGAATGTAAGTAAGCAGAATAATAAAGAAGATGAGAATGGTTTTTGTTTAATTTATATAAATAATCAAAAAAGTAGAATTATTAAAAAAAGAGTAGAAAAACAATTTTTAAAACCTTATGAGTCCTTAAGGAATATTATCAAGAAAAATGAAATAATAAGAGAATACGTGGAATATGATATAAATGATGAATTTTATAATTGGAGAATTGATTTAATCGATAAATTAATAGAGACTGATGAAAATTTTATTAAATTTTTAAAAAATAGTTTAATAGAAGAAGAAAAAAGGGTATGAGGAGAGAAGAAATATTTTTATTAGTGGAAAATATAAAAATAAGAAATAGGATGGAAGAGAATGGTAAAAGAAGTTATGAATATATATTAGATATTTTAATTAGGAAAAATTATAATAGCGATAAGGAAGAACTGAAATTTAGTGTAAGATATGACGATAATCTTGAAAATGAGTTTAAAGCTATTATAAGAGGTATTATTTTGGGAATATTAATAATTGATAGAGGAAGTGACGTTGGATTAGGAGTTAATAGTTATGTGCTTAGATTATTAGAAAAATTTAAAAATAGTAGTAATAGAAGGAAATTAGACGAAGAGTTATATTTGGAATTAGCTTTTTTAGAAAATTATATGGAAAAAATGAATAGAAAATGAATTTTTGATTTTATCTAGTTTAGATAAAATAAGGTTAAAGTTAAGAGAGGAATTAGTAAATAATAAAGCGATGATGGATTCTAAGTCGTATAAGATGAAATTTATAGATGAGGTAATGTCATTTGATGAATTTAATCTTTATTGGAAGAAAATTTTAATTTCAGGAGGGCTTAGAGCGTGGCGTAAAAAGTGTTCTGAATTAATTTGGAAAAATGAAATGCTTAACAGTAGTAAGGTGGAAGATCTCTTTTATTATAATTATAAGGATGAATTCGATTGGAATAAAACATTACAGTTTATTAGTAATAGAAATATTTATACATCATGGGAAATTGAGAAAGATGATGTATGGGAGCGTTCATATAAAATTAAAAATTTTTTAAAGGATTTACCAACGTATGAGGTGTTATATAAAAGAGATGTAAACAAGATAGAAACAGATCAATGTATTAGGTGCAAGAATGGTGTGGAAGATTGGGACCATTTATGGATCTGTGAGAATAATGAATTAACGATAAAAGAAGTTTTAAAACTTTCGATTAGTAAATTTGAAGAAAGTTTATTGAAGGAAGAAAAGCATGAAAAAATCAAATTTTTACAGAACATAAATTTTAGTTTTTTAAAAATTTTATACGAAAAATCAGAAGTTTTACTTGGAAAAGAGAAATATTGGGAATTGATTAGAGGAGTTTATAATCGAAAATTTAATACGTTATCAAAGATAAAGATGAGAAAGAAGTTATTAACGAGCTTTGGAGTTTTTGTTTCAATGCGTTAAAGAAAGAGTTTTGGAACAAAATGTGTAATGAAGTTAATGAGATAGAACTAAGTTTAGGTATTAAAAAATTGGATAAAAGAGTTAGAAAATTTATAGATAGGGATATGAAGTGCGGAGATAAAAGTATAGAAAATCAAAGAAAAAAATTAAAAATTAGTGAAAAATACAAAAATAGAGAACAAAATATTAAATTAGTAACGAAAAATAAAATAATTACTATAAAATTAGTTTAGTGTTTTTTAGATTAGATAAATATTAGTAGATAGTATTTGTTCGAATACTTTAGTTATAGAGGGTAAATTAATTTTATTTAATTTGCTTTCTAAGTGTTTTAATGTTTATGTAATCTTTTCTGAAAAATGATTAATAAATAAATAAACGCGTTACTAATTTTTTTTTAAAAAAATGGTTATTGCTAAATATCACCAGTGGTGATCGTGACCACACCACTTAATTCTGGCCGAAAATTATAATTTTGGCCAGAGTTAAAAAACACATCGTAAATTTTTTTTCAAAAATTTCAATTTAAATAATAAATGTGTAAAACAAACCTGAGTAGATACTAATCACACTAAAATTTTGAAAATTTGACTAAAAAAAATCTTTTTTAAAACAAAAAATTGTATTTTGCTTATAAAATCAAACTTTCCTATTTTTCTCAAAAACTATCTAAACAACAGCCTTTATAATCTAAGGCAAACTTGTTCTGCCCATAAATTTACATATAGTAATGATATTCATATTATAATTAGAATAATATCTAAGTCAAAAATTTTTGAAAATTCAAAAAATATTTTACATGTGGTGATGATCACCACTGGTGATATTTAGCAATACCCAAAAAAAATTAACCTACATATATTATTTAAAAATATTAATAAGTGATTGAAATTTTTTTAAATTATTGGAGTGGTTATCTACATTCTTTTTGAATATAAATTTAATAAAATTTATTAGGTAGTTAATGAAATATTAATTTTTTTTGCAATTAACTGAGTTTTCTTTCGATTTCAGCATCACGTGATATTAATAAATGATCAACATAGATTTCGTATAAAGGAACCCTACCCTTAAGTAAAAGAGACGAAATTTTAATGAACAAAAGTAAGAGAGTGATTAAATTTTAGCATAATTGAGTAAAGTAACTTAAAATTTTAATGTAAGGGAATAAGAGGAGTACAAAATTATGCGAGAGTAAAAGGATGTTAAACAAATTTAACTAGTTATCAATATAATATGTATCATATAAATTTTTTTTTTGATTAATTAAAGAAAAGCAATATAAATGGGGAACTCTCCCCGCTGATCATTCAGTCCACAAATTTTGGGACGAAACAAAAGGCAGAAGGGTTCAAAGGTGCTTTATGGGAAGTCAGTTTTTTACGCATTTCACCTAGTGTTCCGAAAGGGTCGAATCGGGTTTGGTTTAAGGATGTATTCGAACTCGACCTGAGTATAAAAACCAACCCGTACAAATATCCAGGTTAATATTTATATAACCTGACCTCTGACCTGACCCGATATAGTTTAACTCCCGGATAACCCAGGTCCAAATAAAATTTTCAAATGTTCAGCAAAAACAATTATATTTACGTTGCACAACTTAGTTTTATTTTAAAATTTTATTTTAGATTGCCAGTTCCTCCAGAAAAGATCTTCAACTGGAATACTTGCAATTACGGGTAAAAAAAATTTAACCAATTTTAATATTATTCAATGATTACAAGATAATCTCTTGCCATTGCTGCTAGGTGTGAAATTGTGAATACTCTATTTAACTACGGTATATATTTTCATAACGAATTAATAAAATCTAATAAATTATATGATACTAATATTATTAAGCATATACCTTCCATCATAGTAGAACATCTTAATTTCGATCTGCTCAAGGGTTAAATACTTTTCTAGACTTCTTAAATAAGTTCGCTTTCCAAGAGTTAATTTCTCAGCCTCACTCATTTTTATACACAAATAAAGTTAAGAAATTAAAATCATGTAACGTAAACATTTTGTAAATATTTTAAATATAAATATCTGATTAAACCCGGGTCAACTCGGGTTAACCTGGGTCAAGCAAAGGTGTGACCCTGACCTGACGAGTCGGGTTGAATATAAAACTCGTGTCAAATAATGATAAACCCGATTCAGATTTTAAACACGGGTCAGGTCAAATGACCCGGGTTTGACCCGACCCTTTTGGAACACTAATTTCACCATTACCAACTGCTTATGCAGTCCTTTACGAACATTTTGATATAAAATTTAGTGGAAGTTCGTCAGAAGTTTTCAAGTTTTTCGACCAAAAAGTTATTTCTCGCTGTCAGTATATATGGTAGTGACCCAAAAATGGCCAAGTAGGGTGAGGTGTTGCTCCAACAAAACGTTTTCAGAAGGCGATAACAGAGACTTGAAAAAATACAAAGAAACTGACCTTTGGATAGTGGAGTGTATCATTCAGCACAGAGAAAGTTTAGCAAGCGGATGGATCCAAAATAGTAATGGAAAATTCAGCGAGGAAACAATAGGAATGTTGAGAAATGGGTGATTTATTGTGGGACAAAATTGCGGTAACAAATTTATCCAAGGGATCAGCCATATCCGCAGTAGTTACGTGTGTAATGATGACGAAAGGAACCTTATTCTCTAGTCCCATGCTTGCATGAGAAACAAATTTTCGAGAAACAAATAAAAGGTTTCCTAAGGTCCAGTATAGATTTTTGAGGAATTTGAATTATTTTTTTCAAGATTGGATATCAGCGTGGTGTTTGAGGAACAAGAACACTGGAGTGGAGTATGACCATGGAGGGCCAACCGCTAGTCTTCTTCCTTGGGGACATCACATAATTTTTTGGTTTTTGTAGAACAATGTCAGAGAGAGAAGAATGTAGTGGGAATAGGTAACGAGGTGGGACAAATTCGGCAGCAAATTTATCTGAGGAAGGATCAGCCATATCTGCAGTAACAAGAATAAAATTTTTGAGAAAAAAATTAAAGAAGGTTTTCTGATCATGGTTCGTGTATGGGGACTAAATGTTAGGGAAGAGGTCAACCTACACACTAGTTTACTTGCAATTTTCTAGGCTTAGCGCGAAGCTTCTCTTTTTTTAGTTCCTATTTAGTAAATTTAGTTAGTCATATTAGATTAGGATTAGTTTAGGTTTGTTTGTGTGTTTTTTTTATGTTTTTTTAAGCCGTATCATGTTGCACGTGCGGTTCCAGATACTTATGAAAACCGGTAATGAAAATATCACGTGATTTTTCGTGACATTTTTTTCGTTATATTTTACTGGATGGAATTTTATCTAATTCAGGTTCAGGAAAGGTTGCTGTTCCAAGTGGCTCTAATTCATTAGCAGTATAATAAATTTTATTATTTTCAGTTTTTCTATAATTTTACATGGCAAAGCGGGAAATCAATAATCAATTTTTGGAACAGCAACTCTTATCAGATCTCCAATTTGATATTCTTTAATTCTCTTTATCCCTGTAAAATTTCATGAGAATTATTTGATGGATCCTGATTTGTAATATCCAAAATAATTGGATCAATAGAAATTGGATCATTTGACCATTATTCAATTCATTTTTATTTATTAATTCATTATTATTTTGATCTGGTTGATAAATTAAAAAAAATAATATTATTAAATATAAAACCACGAAATTCGGTTAACTTAAATTATTAGTTCTTGAATAATAATTACATCATACTTGAAAAGACATGATTGGACATATTGACTTAGATTTTACCTCGTAAATCGTCCAAATCATCTAAATTTTCAGTACTATCAAAATTTTGTATAGTGTCAGGAATATCTAGCATTTTTAATAATAGTTTGGAAGCACCTGCTGTTTTTGTAAATGCAATGATTAATTTAGATGATAACTGAAAGGTTACGATTGAATGATTGAATTTAGAAGGAACTAACGAATTTAAAAATTTAAAAAATATAAATAAGCAGAAAGAATTTTTTACAAATATGACAGACAATTGAACTTGCAAAATGTATTCCATTAGATCATTCAAAAATACATAAAATTAAAAATATTTTGAATTAAGTTCAGAATTACTTTTAATATTTATTCCTTCAAATGAAAATAATTTAATAAAAAAAGTTCAAAAGATGTTTTTAGAATCTTTAGTTAAAGCTGATAAAAATATTATAACATATCTTGATATTAACAAGGATTATGGATTTCAAAAACGAGTAAAATTTTTTTAGTTATAAGTAAAAGCTTGACGAAATATTTTAAATAATAAATATCCTTTTTTTATTCTAAGGGAAGAAATTAAGATCAATTTTGAAGATTTCATAAAGAATATTTAAATTTTAATAATCATATAGATATAAAGAGGTACTTATTATTTATATTAATTATATCAAATAATTATTTATTGCATATCAGATATTAAAATTTATATTTGATTATTTAGGGAAACAATAGAATTGTATTTAAAGTGGCACTAATTATTATTGATATTGTAAACGATATCACATTCATTATATGTAATCAAAGATAGCTTTAAGCATTTATATCTTTATAAAGTGTTTAGAATAAATTGTTTAGTGAATTAATTTCTTTATTTTTTTTTTAATAATAAATAGATTTTGTATGCCATAAATATTACCACTTCACATAAAATTTTGCTTTTATTACAATTTACAAATAATGTTATCTTTATTAGTTGTTATAGTAGAATATGGGTATTATATTAGTAATATAATTAAAAAACATTTTGGCAATAATACTGTAATAAAGAAGTTAAATCTGGTGATGAGGTTGAATTGGATTAATTTAGTGCTCCTACCGGGTCGGATTCGGTCGGGTTTGGAGAATATATCCGACTCGACCCGGCAAAAATAGAAATGATCCGATTTTAACCTGACCCGAGTATATTTAATTCGAATAACCTGGGTTAGACCCGAAATTTTCATTGGATAATATACTGTATGCTTAGTAATATATCAAAAATATTTTTTCAAATATAATTTTTTCAATAACGCAAGGTAATTGATCTACAAGATGATCATATAGGTCACACAACTTTTTGTTATTAAAACTAAAGCTAAGCACGAATTTAAAGATATCTTAAATTCCTGTTTATTTATTGCTTTATATTTGAACTATAAAATCGAAATTATATCACTTGTTTTAACAGAAATTTGACTATACTTTACGTCTGCCAGGACTTTAAACACATGCATGCTATAATTGTATCTGCTATAAG